ACATAAAACTCTCCAGGGTTTTCAGTTGTGCTTGAATCGAGTCCAAACTTTGCCTGTTCTAGGAGCCCTGCACGACCTAGTTCCAGCCAGCTCAAATCCCACATGTGGCACGCTCTCTCATTTCTGGGCCTTTGCTCAGCGGTTCTCTAGGAACACCTCCCACCCTAATACACTGCCCCCGATATGCATGGTGGACTATTACTTTTCCTTTACATCAGCTCCACCCTGACCATCCAACTGGGAGGGGCCTCATACTTTGGTGCTCCCACAGTGTCCTGTGCTCCCCTTTCTAACTGCCTGTATCACATGGAGTTATAATTGCTTGTTATCTGTCCCCTTCCCACAGGGCACCTTGCTTTTTTTTCTCCCCTGCCCTGAGAACAGAGCCAGTCCCACACAGCCATCCCCTCCTGTCTGTGGCCACTACTACCGCCACCGCGTACACACCCTGAACCTAAACCCTCCTCTCCAGCCCCATAGCTCCTAGCCTCTCCCTGAGACGACGCCAGTAGCCGCTCCTGTGGACCACTTTCTCTGTCTCTCACTTTCCTTGTCACTCTGCTGCTTAATGCTTAAAACTCTTCTGTGGCTCCGCTCTGTTCTCAGGATCCAGTCTTTCCTCATTAGCATGGCATTCAAGGCTCTGCCTGAACTTGCCTTACTGTAAAATCCCCGAGAGGAGAGAACAAGAACTCTGTGGAGAGGCAGAGGTGGCTGAGGGATAATTTGCTTATAACTCAAAATATATGAGAGGGAACATTATTTTAGAATCCATTTCCAGGACTTCTGTTTACATATGGGATGTGTTCCAATAAATTCCTATGTATCAGGGCCCTGGGTGGGCTGAATACTGCTAGTATAGCCAGTGGTTCTCAGACTAGTGTATTTCACCGGCTGGTAGATTTCTTTGTTTTTTTTTTAATTTGGGGACGGGTAGGGTTGCTGACTTTTTATTTTGCAAAGTAAGCACATTAAACAAAACACTACCATCTTTTCATGAAACAAAGGACTTCTTTTGTATACCAAAAAAAAATCCATGATTTCAGATTAAAGGTCAGTACTCTAGCTTTATGGGGGAAAACTTGCCACAACCACCTCATTTTTATTTCGCCTGGGACTGGTAAAGACTTGGGTCAGTCAGGTATTGGGGGAACTGCTGCAGCTAGCTGTCTGAATTCCCACTGATATGCAGGGCGCAGGGCATCTGTGTCTCCTAATTGGCCTGCACAGTGGGGAGTGTGGTGGGAGGGCAGAGTGCTTCTCCCTTTCCCACCCCCTACCGAGCCAGGGCCCTCTAACTAGTTTGGGTAGAGGGATTAGGGCCCAAGGCTGGGGGAGGAGAGAGGAAGCAGATGGAAGGGCTGCAGGAGCCAGGAGCACAAGCTGAGCTGCCTTTGGCCCTGGGGGCCAAAAGGTGACCCTGAATTGGGGCAAGGCCTTTGTCCCTGCCCCTGCCCTCCCATGGACTTGCTTTTCCACTCTAGCGTCCCAAGAATTAGTGGGGGGGTGTTACCAGGAAATGGCACTCCTGACATGGACAGTGGTACTTTCCAGATGGGCACCTTCAACAGTGGTGGGGGTTGTGGCAAGGCCATTCCAGGGCCCTGGTGGGCAGATGCCACCAGATGGGGCTTGTTTTGGCTACAGGTGAGGGACGCTCCCTTGGGGACTTTGCAAGGAGGGTTTTGTGGCACTTCGGAGGGAGAGCAGGAACATGGTGTGTAATGAGGGTGGGGGTCAGAAGGTTGGGGGTGGTGGAATACCAGGCTAATCCTCAGAAGCTTACTTAACTCAGATTAGCCTAAGCCCTCCCAGCTCCATCTGTGCTTCTCCTGTACTCCCAAACTAGCCTGGTGGCCATTCGTCCATGCCACACTTTTCTGCCCTGGTGACAGCTGAGGAAAGGTGGGCATTTTAGGAGAGGAGCTTGTCAGGCCAAATGGTTTTCCAATTGGTGACAATTTTCAGGGTATGAGAAGTTCAGGACAGGGTGAGGAGTAGCAAGACAGTGGGGACAAGGGGGTGGTGTGAAGACAAGGCAGGCTTGGCCAGGAGTCAGTTCCAATCCCTATGTACAGTGACAGTGGGGAGTGTATGTGTGTGTGGACAGGGGAACACAGAACCATGGTTTCTAAGTGTAGAATGTCCTGTATGTAAATCAACTCTATGTTCAATTGCAATTCAGCAGGGAAGCAGCTACCTGACTGAGAGGCTCACCAAGTTCCAGGCTGGTCCTCTGCCTGGCGGTTCAGGGCCTCAATGTGATCAGCCCTCTCAGACTCACATTCACCTAACTTATAAGAGACTGAAAGACAAGCCAGGCCCCAGATAAGTCATTTTACATAAGGAGAGTTATCTGGTAGAATAACTGACGTTAGACATTTGCAATATTTTGATTAGTGGCCTTTTTTTTCTTCAGTGGGTGTCTTTTGGCCCATGGTAAACATTATCCTTTTCTGTTGGTTCTTATTCTCTGTCATCTCCTGTGCACATCCCCTGTTCCAGAGAGGCACGATCTTCAGGTCCCGCACCATCACCTGTTCGTGTTCATCCTTGCCATGCTTCAATCTACTAGAATGGAGGCTGAAACTTTTTGTAAAGGGCTAGTTAGTAAATATTTTAGGCTTTGTTGGCTCCATGGTCTCTGTGGCAAGAATGCAACTCCACGGTGGTAGCACAAAAACAGCTACAAACAATACAGACATGAATGGGTGGGGCTGTGTTACCACGAACTTTATGGACCCTGACATTTGAATGTCGTATAACTTTCTTATGTCACAAAATCATCTTTTTATTTTTTTAACCGTTTAAAGATGCAAAACCCACTCTGAGCTTGCAGGCCACACAAACAGGCAGGGGGGCTGGATGTGGCCCGCGGGCTGCAGTGTGCCAGTTACCCCTGAGCTGGAAGATTATCTTCCTGCACGTGGCACTGTGGCCAGTGTCTCGCTGGTGGGATTTCTATGTCTCCACTGCACATTTACCAGTCAGAGCTCCCCAGTGGGGTGTGACTGTCCCCTGCATGTTCACTGAGATGGCCTCAACTTAGAAGCTGCATTTTCCTCACCTCCTCATGCCTCCTCAGTGTAAACAAGTGTATAGGTGCTGGGATTCACCCAGCAGAGCCTGAAGGGCTCCTAAAGACTGTGATGGGTAGTGCCCTTCTGGTCCAGATGGGACCACGGAGGCTAGGGAGTGAGCGAATAGCCAAGGGCACCCAGAGTTACTGGGGAAGTTGGGGGCATATCTGCAGCCTGGAACACACAGAAACTGTTCAACTTTACAGTGTATTTCTTTAGCTGTTACAAGACTAACAATGGCGCTCCGCTCTGTGTGTCCCAGGCTTTCCACCATCTCATTTAATTCTTAGGACAACCTTATTGGGTGCAGCCAGAATTTCAACTCTGTCTGTGTGGCTCTAAAGCACACGTTCTCAGCCATTCACCCCCTGGGGTTCCTGGTGATCCCCTGCTCCCTCTGACACTATGGGACTGGAGCTGGCTAACTCCCCAACCTCAAGGAACCCCCGGTTTGCTCCTTTTTCCTCATTAATTATTGAAGTGATACATGAAGTTGTGAGGAATGGAAAATACGGATAAAATGCCTGTACTATGCCACGTAGATAGTGTGTGTTCAACAACTACTAGCTATTTCTGTTAATTCTTCAGCTAGTCAGTGTCATAGAATAAGCACTGCCCTGGAAATTGGGACATTCACTCACTCACTATATATTTTGGTTTTCTAGCCTCAGGATTCAGAGCAATGGATGCAAGTAGCACGGGGAAAGATTTAGGCTCCACCACAGGGAGACCCCCCATACCCACGCTATGGCTCAGGGGGTGGCAGAAGCCACTGGAGGAGAGGTCTCTGGAGGTGCGGGCCCTGCGGGGGGGCACAGGAAGCCTGCCGAAGGGGCACTAGGGGCAGGTGGTAGTAGCCGTTCTCTAAGGAGGATGTGGCCCCGAGCCGCCCGTGCCGAATAATGGCAGGGACAGGCTCGCCCCTGCCGCCCCGTCACTCCGGAGAGCAGCGGCGCTTTCTCTTTGTCCTCGAAAGCTGGCTGTAGAAGCAGCCCTTCTTGAGGGCGTTCACGTGCATTTTGCTGTTCAGGGCACTGTCAGAATCTGGTTTTGCCGTGTCCGAGAGCTGGACTCCGTTTGCGGGGGTTCATGGGAAAGGACTGCAGCACGTTTGTTGATCACTGAGCACGTTTACAGATCGACTCTGCAGATGTGAACTTGCGCTTTCAGTACATTCATCAAAGCCTCGGGAGAGCTGACCCTGTCCCTTCTGCCTCGTCCCCAGGGCCGCGGAGCTCTGGCTCCAGGCCACCCCCCAGCCTGCCTCTCGCCTGCCCCCGCGCCCCCGGCTTCAGGCTCGTTTCCCCGAGACGTGCCACTGTTTGCCAACCGCGGCCAGTTGGCAGCTCCCCTTTTCTTTAATCTCTGGACGGGGTTCCACTAAAGCTTTCTGCAGGGATGGGTTGTGAAAAGCCAGCTCAGCCATGGCGACTGGGGCAAAAGCGCGAGAGCTCCGTCCTGGAGCCGCAGCTGGAGGGGCCCCTAGGCAACAGCCTTTTACCGGGAGGACATCATGTCCAGAAGCGGAAGAGCCCTGTCCAAGGTCACCCGGCTGGCAGAGCGCACCTGGCGTGTGCGCCGCCTCGAGTCCTGCTCCAGGTCGGGAGGAGTCTGGCGCGCCGGCTACTGTGCACTCACTGCTCCGGGGCGCAGGGCACCCCTCTGAGTTTTCCTTCTCCCGGTCGGGGGTGGGAAGTGGCCTGCAGGCAGCGCTCGGGCGCTGGACCCAGCCCAGATGGATGCCCGCGGGCCCCGCCCCCGCGCAGCGGCCCCGACCCGGAGACTGCAGGCTCGCCCCGCCCCTTGCACCGCACTCTCAGCCCAGGCCCACGTCACCTCGCCCCAGCCGGGCGCGCCCCCGGCGACCGCACTCCTGCGCGCTCCTTCCCCGCCCTCCCGGGGCCGCGCTGCGCCCACGCCGGCTCTAGGCGGGGCCCTGCAGTGGCGGCGGGGCTCCTCCTCCTGCCGCTCCTCCCCAGCTTCCGCTTCCGACGCTCTAGCGCTAACTGTACTCTTGTGGGCCCCTCCGCCCTCTCCCAGCCATGGTGGCCTGGCGCTCGGCGTTTGTCATCTGCCTCACTTTCTCCTTGGCCACTCTGGTCCAGAGAGGTAAGGCGGGCAGGGGGCACGCGGGGACCGCGCCCTGTGGGCCCGCGGGGCGGGGGCTCGGCGCCTCGGCGGCCCCGCCCGCGGACCTGCGGCGGAGGCAGAGGGCGGTGGGTTGGGCGTGCGAGCCCCGATCCATGTGGCCGGGGAGGAGGGACCGGGATCCGTCCTAGTGCTGAGCTAGAAACAGCGGGATAGTACCCCCTTAAAATCCTGAACGAGGTGTCACCACAGGTGACAACAGCTGTCCCCAGGAGATTGCCTTTGGGAAAACCTTGAAGAGAGCACTCATTCCCTCGAGCGGGGCTTGTCAAAATGTGTTTCGAGTCCTCCTGCAGAATTACCTGGGGAGCTTACTGGGCACATTCCTGCTCCAGTTTTCAGGATCTCGGTGGGGACGGGATTGGGGAGGGGGACAGGGGACGGCGATGTGTAGGTGTAACTCGCTGCTCAGGTGCTTCTGGTGCCGGCCCTAGTTTTCGAGCTATTGGTGATATTTTGACAAGCAGGAGGAGAGAGAAAATTTGTCGAATCAAGGGAGCAAGTTTCTTAGACCCTTGCTACTCAGAAGTGTGGTCCAGGGACCGCACGCATCACCTGCTAGGAATGCAGCATCTCAGGCCCCGCCCCTGACCTACTGAGTCAAATTCTTCATTTTAATTAGATCTCCGGGTACTTTGCAGACACATTCAAGTTTGAGAAGCATCTCCTTGGAATAAATGCAGTCTGTGGTTAAAAATAGGGTCTCGGACATGTACCGACAGAATCTTCTTACACTTATTTATATCCCATTTCCACATCATTAAAAGGGTTTGAGGAAAACACTGCAATTGAGCACAGAGTTGTGCTCTGAGCTTCCTGACAAAGGCGGCAAACGCAGCTAGTGAAAAACATGAGCTCATCAAAAACAAAACTGTCCTAGTACTGAGTTCATGTTACATATGAAGAACACTGAAAAACAGTAGTCAGGCCAACGGAGTTTTGCCAAAGATGCAGAATGTTGATCCTGTGGGCAGCCCTCCTGGAGTTGATACAAGAGCCCTTCAGCATTCTACAAAAGTGCCCGGCTCTGTTCTAGACATGATGATGCAGCAGTGAACAAAGCTTAGACTCTGTCCTCATGGAGCAGACATCCTGGTGGGGGAAGAAAACAAGCACCGACACAGCTGTCTGTTTAATGGATTGTTAGTCCTATGAAGAAAAATAAAGTTACAGGGTGGCTGAATTTTGGTCTTATTTTTCCCTTTGGGGTTAAGTTTGCATTTTGTTTATGATGCATTTGTGGGAAAACGTATAATCATTTGATTGACTTGCATCTAATGATATGGGAAACTTGAAAGTGGAAGTACAAAAAAGTTAGAAAAATGATACTCCCTTCAAGGCTATCTTCTGAAAGTCTTCCACATGGTTTGCGCGTTGAGAAGGTGAGGAATGTAAATGATTAGGTCTCAGATTTCCACCATCACGCTTTACGATAGGTGATTTAGGAGGTGGGGGTGGCAACTGCAAGCCAATGCAGCCATTTTACAGATGAGGAAACAGAGACACAGAGAGGCAAAGTAACTTGCTTCAGGTGCCAGAGCTAAGATTTGACCTCAGGCTTGTCTGATTCCACAGTCCTTGCTTTTTAAGCACTAGGTATAATGCTTTTACACCTGGAGGCCGCCCTTCTCCTACAGCTTACTGGCCCGGTGGCCTTGGGCAAGTTCTCTGAACCTTGCTTGGTTTCCTCATCTGTGTATAATTCCTAATAACTCACAAAGGTGTCCTGATGGGACCAGGTGTGTGTCACTCTCTGCTGATTTGCCGCCCTGCCATCAGCTACCGTCTCCTGAGTGCTTGCTGTGTGCCAGGCACTTCACAGATATTTTTTTTTCCTGCCCAAAGCCCCAGTACATAGTTCTATATCCTAGTTGTAGGTCCTTCTAGTTGCTGTATGTGGGTCGCCACCTCAGTATGGCTCCATGAGTTGTGAGTAGGTCCACGCCCAGGACCTCAACTGGCGAACCCCGGGCCCCCGAAGCTGAGCTAACCTAACCTAACTGCTGCACCACTGGGCCCGCCCCCACAGATACTGTTTTTAATTGCCCCAACAGTTTTGCTGGTTAGGTATTATCTCTGCCTTTCAGATTAGGGGCCCCTGGTCACATAACTCAGAAGAGATTGAGCCAGGATCCCACACAGATAAGACTGCTACTCAGTGATCTTTTTTATTTTAATTAAGAAAACGAAAGAAGAAGCTTTTGCTTCAAGGTAGGGACCCAGTTTTGTGGATCTTTTGTTCAAAATAAGATGACAGATATGGGTTTTGCATTGGTGGTCTCCTCTGGGGATCTGGGCAGTTACAGCTTCAGAGCTGCTGTGTCCAAATGAAAAAACAAAGCAGGCACTCAGGCACCCACTGGCTCTCCTGGAGCCCTGAAGGGCTGGATGGGGGGGCGCGCTGCCCAGAAGCCACTTTATTCTTGGTCCTGGTCCTCAGTAGTAAGGGGTGACTGAGAAAGCCTGGCAAGCCTCAGAAAGCACACACAACCTGGAAGCATGATTTGTGAAATCCCTCCGGACGCTGGCAAGTTGAAACAGGCTTAGGCCCCCAGGAGTTTAAGAGGGTGGTTAACAAGTCATCCCTGTTCTAATTACGGATGGGTTTGTAGTCCACTGTGTATTTTACTAGTTCTGGAAACTGCTTTGAGGTCAGGCATGGCGCCTGTATGCACCTGCAGAAACGGGAAGCTGTTCTTTTGAGCAGCAGGGAGAAGAATCTAAGTGGTGTGGGTGGGTAGTAATCATAAGGAGGGCTCCATTTCCCAAATGCCTTCCACGCACCAGGCCCTCAGCGCCTCACACACATTTACCCCTCATAACTACCCAGAAAGGTTGGCACTGTGACCCATCTTGTCTCCTGATGTCCATAATGGCCATTTGCATAGAGCCTTGAAAAGCACCTGGGCAGTAACCCATTTCTCAGATGAAAAACATGTGGTCCGGTGAGGTTTAGGACTTTAACTCAGGTGTATCTGAATAACCAAAGCAGGGGTAGTGAACCCAGGTACCTCAAGGGATGGGGCAGGTCAAAGAAATGTAAGAAGTGGCCGAGAATAAGTGTGATGAGCGTGTTGACGAACCGCCAAGTGCCTGCTCCCCTAAAGAGAGGTGGCCCAGCTGACAGAGGGGGAGGGTGAGTGCGGGCTTTGGAGCAAGCCTGCCCAGCGCTACTGCGACCTGGGGCGAGGACCTGGAGTGAGGACCTGGAGCGAGTCACTTAACTGCTCTGTGCCTCGGTTTCCTCCTCTGTAAAATGGGAATGACAACACTGTCCACCTCATGGGGTAGTTAATTAGGATTAAATTAATAGAAATGGATAAAGCACTTAGCATGGCGCTGGGCTCTGAGTGAGCTCGGTGGTAGTAATTATTATTCACATTACCTAAGACTTTCCAAGCCACATTTTAAAAACACTCGCTGCAAACCTTGAAAACATTATGCTAAGTGAAAGGAGCCAGACACAAAAGACCACATATTGTATGATCCCATTTATGTGAAATGTCCAGAGTTGGCAAGTCCATAGAGACAGAAGGCAGATTAGTGGTTGTCAGGGGCTGAGGGAGGGGGGAATGGGGAGTGACTGCTTAATAGGTATGGGGTTTCCTTTTGTGGTGATTATAATGTTCTGGAACTAGATAGAGGTGATGGTGTACTAAGAACCACTGAATTTGTACACTTTAAAAGGATGGTATGTGAATTATATCTCCATTTAAAAAAATTCACTGTAGTCCAAACAGAACAAATGAGGGAGGTGGCAGCACGTGACACCTGGGTTGGGGTTGGTCTGCAGGGCCCTGGGGCTTGGTCGGCAGCGGGGAGAGGACAGCAGAGTGGGCCCCAAATGATGGTGGGGCTGAGATGCCAGGCTTGGATCCAGGCAGAAGCCCTGTGGGCTGACTTGGACTATTGGGTATGAGCCAGACAGGCCACAGGGGCACCTGCAGGGTTAGCCCAGAGCTACGTAACCTCCCCCAACCCCGAGTTTAGGAATGGTCCCTGGGAAGGTGCATCCTGGGTGGGCGGGGGGCAGGGGTGTGCAGATGGGACACAACGATACCTTCCCTTTCCTGGATGGCTCAGGGTCGCCATTATGCACCCCAGACAGTCATTGCACTGCACTGACAGGGTCTGGGGACTGTTGGCCTTTTAGTGTCACCTGTTTTGATTGGTTTTCGGCCCCTTCCTCTCTGTCACAGGTCGCATCGCCATCCCCTCCATCATTTTGGACACCAGGTAACTGAAACGTTTTTGTTAACACACACACCCACACCCCCACCAAGAGTCGGCTGCAGCAGGCACAGAGGAGCGGCCTGCAGCTGCCTCCAGTGGAGATGACCATGCTGAGGATGATGAGGCTGTTGGCTGCTCAGAGGGGAGTCGGGGATGAGCTGGTTTTGGTTCTTATGAGTTCAGATACTTTCCAGGTGCACTGATCTTCCTGTTCTGGGTTCTTCCCCCATGCGGTGGTTGTGCTTTTCCTGCTGCGGGTCCACTCCTGCTCTTTGCACTTAGCACGGATTCCTCTGCTGTTCTCGGTGTGCTTCGGGAGGCCTGGCTGCAAGGTCCTGTCCCCCAACCCGGCCTCGGCTCTCCCTGAGGCTTGCTTACAGGGCCACTGACTGGCCAACCTTGGTTTGCATGTAAAAGCTTAAAGTCATCCTAAACAGGTAACAGAAACAGGTGGGAAAATGTTTCATGCAGGTGGGTATTCCAGATGGAGGTGGGTGGGAAGCTGTGGTAGGCAAAATAATAATAATGGCCCCAAAGATGTCCCCGCCGTAAGCTCTGGAACCTGTGACTGTGTTACCTTACTTAGTAAAGGGAAATTAAGCTAGCAGATAGAATTAAGATTGCTAATCAGCTGACCTTAAAATAAGATTCTCCTGGGTTATCCTGGCCAATTAAAGGACAAGGGTCCTTTAAATATGGAAGAGGGAGGTAGAGGAGTCAGGATCAGA